TTTTTTTTTTTTTGAGACAGAGTCTTCCTCCATTGCCCAGGCTGAAGAGCAGTGGCATAGTCTTGGCTTACTGCCACCTCTGCCTCCTGGGTTCCAGTGATTCTCCTGCCTTCCCGAGTAGCTGAGACTCTAGACATGCACCACCATGTTTGGCTAATTTTTGTATTTTTAGTAGAGACAGGGTTTCACCATGTTGGCCAGACTGGTCTCGAATTTCTGACCTCAGGTTATCTACTTGCCTCAGACTCCCAAAGTGCCGGGATTACAGACATGAGCCACCATGCCCGGCCGACTTCAATTACATTTTTGCTGATAGTCCACAAATCTCTATCTGTAGCAGAGATCATTCTTGAGTTTCAGACGTATATCTACAACTCTGTCCTGAACATCTTCCACTTGTATATCTTAAGCACCTCAAAGTCAGCATGTCTAAAATCTGCATTTATCCTCTTCTTACCCTCCATAGTATTCCATTTGTTCAGTGAATGCCATCATCCATCAAGCTGACCAAACCAGAAATCTAAGCTTCATACTAGACCCAACTTTATCTCCCTGACATCAATCGGGTGATACATGATTAGGTCTTATATTAAAGCATTGATGGAAATGAATGGGACTAATAGATGGTGGGAGAGCCTGGCATACCAATTGGTAATTTGACAAACACTCCTCTTCCCCCGACACAATGGAATAGGATATACAGACAAGTTATCTCACAGTGGATGGGATATATAAACAGGTGGAGGAATATATAATACATAGAGAAAAAGCTTATAAAAATGAGTAATCTTGAAAGTAGTTGAATAATGCATTTACACTGAGAAGTTTTGGGGGAAAATGACTTCAAAGTGAGGGGGATAAATTACCAATTTTTTTATATTCTAAGGTATATATGCTTTTCCATACATTTTAGCATCTTTAAAATTGGAATGGTGGCATCTTCAGTTTTTGGTGAAGCTTTTTTTTTTTCCTTAGGGATACATAAAATAATGCTGCATCTTAGAGTTATGGCATCTTAATTTTGATAAAATATGGTGGTTTAAGTTGGATAGCATTTGTCTATATTCCATTTTTCAAACTGAAATAAACATAACTGCTCATAATCCTTCCTTCACAAATTGTTTCCAAGCATAAGGACTGTGGTATTTATGCATGATGCACAAAGGGAAACAGCAAAGGATTCTAGAATCTACTTAAATTGCATCAACTAGTGTTACTAGTATATATGGGTGATAGTAAAAAGTAGTTGGTGATTTCCTAAGAGTGGTAGATCTAAAGTGGTGTAGAATTCTCATATACAAATAAAATTAAAATCTCTCCGGGTGTAACGTAATACTACTAATAATTGAATTCAGCTTTTTTCCCCTCCAAAATAACTGTGATGAATGAGTATTGCTACTTTTATTTTGACTTAGAATTCAGTTGTATGTTGCCTTTTTTCTTTCTTTTCTTTTCTTTTTTTTTTTACAGGTAGCAGATATCAAGAGAGTTAACAATCTCATCAGTGATCAAGACTTTTTTGCCCTTAGGTCTATCAAAATTCCAGTAAAAAAGTTCAGTTCCTTGACTGAAACACTTTGTCCTCCAAAAGGAAGACAGACTTCACGTCATTCATCTGTTCAATACTCTGCTGAACAACAGGAACTTTTGCCAGCTAATGATTCTCTTTCTTACAGTGACTCAGCTGGTAGCTTTTTAAAAGAAGTAGACCGAGACATAGAACAAATAGTAAAGTGTACAGACAATAAGAGAGAGAACCTCAATGAGGTAGTATCGGCCTTAACAGCACAACAGATACGTTTTGAACCTGATAACAAAAACACTCAACGTAAAGATCCCTATTATGGAGCAGACTGGGGAATAGGGTGGTGGACAGCTGTAGTGATAATGTTGATAGTAGGTATAATAACACCAGTGTTTTATTTATTGTATTATGAAATTTTAGCTAAAGTGGATGTTAGTCATCATTCAACAGTGGATTCTTCACATTTACATTCAAAAATCACACCACCATCACAGCAGAGAGATATGGAAAATGGAATTGCTCCAACTAAAGGAATACACTTTGGCCAACAAGATGATCATAAACTGTATAGTCAAGATTCTCAGTCACCTGCTGCTCAACGTGAAACATAGCAATTAGCTCATAATCAAATGTTAGTGATCACGTGCATCTGGAATGTGGTGAATCAGTTATATCCAGTAATCGCTTCAAAGGCAGAATTTAGAGAGATTGAGGATGCTTTTGTTTTTAACAAAAGGGTTTTGTTTTTAACCCCTTAATTTTGTTTTTAACAAAATTTTCATACTTTGAAAATTTTTGAGCAACTAGTTGTTCATGTTAAGAGCAGTTGATCCATAAATCTGGTGTGTCAATGTTTCAAGCAGAAGTGAATTTAAACGTGTGTTTAGGAAGTTCTTAACTTGTAAGATATATCATTTTTCTTAAAATGTATGCTTAAATTTTATTTTTTAGTAATTTTTTAAAAGTTTATTAATGTTAAATTTATGATGCAGAATGATAGCATTAGATGACTGCAATTGAAAAAAATTTACTACTTTGAACCCCCAAAATATTCAGTTGCAAGAATGTTTGATTCTAAAAGTATTCATGGTAGCATACCTAACACACCACTTTGAAACTTTTAAAAAATACCCTTAGCACATGTGCTGTGAAAGCATATGTACAAAGAGAAAGGGGAAGGTAAATTATAATTCCTACGACAGAGGCCAAGAAATGAAATATTTTAAAGACCCCCAAAATAACATGTTATGGTTGGGAAGTCAGCAAAACACTGGACTAGGCGAATACCTAACAGTAATTTTTGTCTTAAGAATGCTTTCTCCAGGACAGACCCTTTAACCTCACCTCTGTGCGTCTGTTTTTAAAGTGATTATATTTGCCTCTGATATCTGAAAGCACTTTTATAGTTTTGATGATGAAAAATATGTTAAACATATACCTATTGCCATTATTTAGGAAATAATTTCTTACATACTGTGATAAATCATTGCTGTTACATATAGTAACATGCCTTAATTACATTTAATGCCTTACTGTTTTTTTTAAGTAAATGGAATTAAAATTAAGCATTATTTCAGATGGTCCAATAAGATTTGTTACATAGGCTATACAAATTTGTCTCCACTTTGACCATCAAAGCACAAATAATTGGGTCAAAACTGCCTCTGAGGTCTGTTGAAGAAAATGGTTCATTAAGCAAAAACGAGTAAAGGTCTTTTGTATTAGCAGTGACCGACAAATTATTTAGTAATCCCTTAACCTCTGTTTTTCAGAGAGAAAATATCCAATTTATACTTTTTACCTGAACAATATATATAGCATCAAATTGGGAAACAAAGGCCAAAGGTGTATAGATTGCTTGAAAGGGCATGATATGCCTCTTTTTAAGATCTGTTGAGTCAGCTACAGTCTGGCTAAGTAAGAAGCATTTGCATACTGATTCCATCATTTAATCTTTAAAAGTATGTGTTTTAAAAATGTAACCAGAATGATTCTTCAATAGAAAGGAGATTTGGTGGAATCTGGATTGCCTGTTTTGTATATAATAAAGTATATACTTAAGATATATAATACCACCTCATTTTCTGGGCATTATTTCCTAATTGTTGATGTTTCAAGCTTTTGATCAGTCATTTTATATATTTCAAATTTCAATCTTGATACAAAGTAGCATGAATAAATAAATATTCATGGCAAATAGAGTTTTATATACTTTCAGGAAAAGAAGAGTCAAACATTAAAGCCCTTGAAGATATTAGAGGACCTTAGACAATTACCAAAAAGTATTTAATAGGGAAGTTGCAAATTGATTCTTTTGGTAAATTAATCATTTAAAAAATTGTTTTAATGTGCCTTCAGCATCTTGAAGAGTGTGATATAATTTATGCTCAGTGTTAACTGGCCAGTTTACATTGTATTTATTAAGCCTGCTGAAAAGTGAGGTTTTAAGGAAGAAAATGCAGATTATTTTAGGGTAAACAGGCCAGGTGTCATTTGAAGAACTTTGTTTACATCAAATTGATGAAATTATAGTCTGATTCCTTTTTTGCTAGTTATACTTTGAAATTGTTATGAGTTTGATTTCCAAAATACATAATTTATTTTTAAAAAAGGAATAAGGTGTGCTGTGTACTTGTTGATTAAAAATCATTTGACTTGCAGAGTATCCTTTTCGAAGGAAATATACATCCTTGTAACACAATCAAACAGGTTTTTTCTATATTTAAATTATATTTTTTATTTAATTGAATATAATTTGAATTACATGTAATTCTATATAAAGGTTACATATTGAATTATGGTTCTAAGGTTTTGAAAAGAAAAGAATTTTCCAAGCATTGAATACATTTGGAATAATTTTAGTTTCAAAAAAGTACTAATGTAAGTTGGTATCAAATGCAAATTACCTTGTATAACTAATTAACAAGCACAGTTATTGTTTAACATTGTGGATTTTGTGTTGACACCCTTATTTGAATTTGCAGCTTTACATGTGTGTCTGTGTGTGTGCCTACGTGCACAGATGGACTTGTATGCAGTGTAAAAGTAACAACAGAATCATTGCATTTGGTTCACTAAAATTTGGGAGTTGGCAAGTAAAGAAAAAGCTGATCGTTTTATGAAGTCTGCGTTAAAATAAAGTTATGGAGTTCATGTTTTCAAAGATATGTTAAAATGGTTACAGACTCTGCTGGCCACATTAAAAATTAGAAGACTCATGTTAAATTATTTTCTCCAAAGGACTTATGTACATCTTTTCTTTTTCTGGGTTCTACCTGCTTGGTTCAGTGTCCTGAAGAGTTCTTTAAATGAACCACTACTTAGTTCTTTTTTAAAGTATCTACTTCTAAAATTACCTAGTTGGAAATATGAAGGATACAGTTAGTTTTGGAAATATGAGTAAAGGATCCAGTCAGTGTTAACACGGTAAAGGTGGAGTTTTTTAAAGTCTTTATTTAAATGGTGCACTGATGGGATTCATTCTTAATTTGAGTTACAAAAATGTTGCTCAGGTAATCAGTATTTTCTTCCACATATGTGCATATTGCACTGTTAGATCATGGAAATATCTTAAAGCTTTAATTTTTATGTATGCAAAATCTATAAATCTTTTGTATAATATATTTTATACAAATGTAACTGTAGAACTTGTTAGCATGTACATCTATAAAACCAGTTTTTAAAGTTTCTTGCCCCTTATTTTTCATATTTTGAAAGATCTGCAACATGTAATAAAGTTTCTGTTACTCAATCTGGAATGGAAGCCAGTGAATTTAATTGAATAAAGCAAACCTTTTCTCCTCCACTTTCAAACTATCTAATATAGGGATATTATGTAAGATAGAACAGATTGACAGAGGTTTACCAATTCAGATTTCCCACTTGCTACAGTGAAGCAAAATACCCTGGATTATTTGTAAGACATAGATAAAACATTTTAAATGAATGTTCTTTGGGGGATTTTCCTCAGGGTAAGATCTGGTAACATGTGGTCCAGGAATTGCTATGAAGTTGTAGATCAGTCATTATCTACAGATTATAACCTGCTCTATTTATACATAAATTTTAATTTATTGTGAAACAAAAAACTCCAACAATACTGTTTAAAAGATTATTAGCAGAAAAATTGAGAAGGTTCTTTGGAGCTTTTATTTATTTAATGGAGGAATTTGTATAATCCCTATGGTTTTCTTTTCGATTTTAAAATGCATCTTGACATTAAAATTATGTTTTTAATAAAATGGAAATTTTTACTACAGAGGTTTTGTTTTTAATTTTGTTTTTGAGACAGGGTCTGGGTCTGTTGCCCAGGCTGAAGTGCAGTGGCATGATGGTTCACTACAGCCTTGAACTCCTGGGGCCAACTGATCCTCCCAGCTCAGCCTCCCGAGTAGCTGGGACTACAGGCACATGCCACCATATGGGCTTGAGATTTTAACCATGTAAAAGCAAAGCCATTGACACTGGACATGTGAAGGTAGTGAAGTGGATTTAACAAGAATCTGAATGTCTTAACATTCTCTGGTATCCAGTATGAGTCGGCCCAAGTTCAAATGATCACACTAAATTATATTGCCTGCCAAATCTCTTAAGTTTGTTATCACAAATTTGTGTGTGTGTTATGTGTCTCGATTACCACCTTGGCTCACTAAAGCCTCAAACTCCTGGGCTCAAGCAGTCCTCCCACCTCAACCTCCTGAGTAGCTGGGACCATAGGCACAGACCAGCATGCCCAGTTCACAGCCTTTTTAAATAATCATTACCCAGAGTTTTGTTGTTTGTGGTGATAGTTTATTCAAGAATATTTGTAATAGGCATCCCTGCTCAATAGACAGTTACTAGGTAAGATCTGTATTAACAAATTAGTTTTCTTTACCAAATATACATTTAAATAAGTTCAAAATAAAACATCTTACTATAAAACAAAGGAACACAATTTTGTAAGAATATGTAAACAAATACAGAAAAATAAGCATTATAGTAACCAAACAGTTTTGCTCATTATAGCAATTTTAAAGACACTTCAACAACTACTTTTATTTAAGAGGCTATCTCTGCAAAATAAAATTCACTTTCCTATGGAATAATTTCACAGTCTCAGATTTTAAACCAGGAAAATGAGATTCATGCTGGTAAAGCAACCTGCAAATCCTGCTTGTTGTCACAATTAACTTTAACATTGTACAAGGAAGGCTCTTAAAGGGGATAGCTGGTGACCCAAGGGGCTACCCTGCTATCTGCAAGACTAAAATTGTCATGACAAATTCAAAGCTAAAAAAAGAAATGACCTTCAGTGTATTTGCCTGGTTCAAGTGGTTATATGCAGATTTATAATAAGTAGGTAAACAGAACAATATTGATAAGATTTCTGAGAACTAAATGGTATTTAGTTCTGGTACTAAGGTGGTGAGAGAATAAAACACCTATGTTAATTATCAACCCCAAATGACAACTTTATGTGTGGTCTCTAAGGCTTATTTTATTCACGTATTCCATTTATTATCTTAAATTTGTTTTACAATTTCCTTTAAACAAGAAATAATTCACAAATGGTTAATACAGCACTAAACTAATAATATAGGTACTCACACCCACCTTGAATTATTTAAGAAAGTATTGCCATTGAAAGTGATCTTTAGGCCGGGCGCGGTGGCTCACGCCTGTAATCCCAGCACTTTGGGAGGCCGAGGCGGGTGGATCACGAGGTCAAGAGATCGAGACCATCCTGGTCAACACGGTG